CATTCTCCATAACTTGTGTCTATGGGCCTAGTTGCACTACTCGCCATCCATCACATTTCGTGGCCGATGCGTGGAAAGTGAAAAAACTGAGAATCGAGTCGAACTGAAGTCCTGGTTGCACTTACTCGCCACTATATTTCTTCTACAGAAAAGTTAAAATTTTTTGTCTACCTGATGTCGACTCGTGAAGCCCTGCGCTCTAAAGCTGTTTTGTGGAGAGGTCCGAGGACCAGTCTCCACAAACCGCCGTGCACAAGCGGGGAAACCGAATTCACTCTCCACAACTTGTGTCGACGGTGTGGTGAGCCGTCTGACACATTTTGCATTCGCCAAGTTTGGCGAGTAAGTGCAACCAGGCGCCTACTCTCCAAACTTGGCCTATGGAGAGTAGTGTAACTAGGCCCTATGGTGTGGCGAGCCGTCTTACACATTTTGCATTTTTTTTTTTTTTTTTTTTTTTTTTCAAACACCCCCCCCAGTGCTAGTGGTGCTGATAAGAGCAGACACCACTACCACTCGGGGAGAGGCTCCATCTTTTTTTTTTTTTTTTTTTTTGAATTGCTCCAATCTATTCGTGGGGAGCATCACGTGCTGGGAACCGGGTCCAGCGTCCCTTATAATGGGAATACATTAATGATTGGCAATTGATGAAAATTTGCGATGATTTAGGATCATTTTGGATGATTTAGGATGTCAGAGTGGGTGATTGAGGTCATGAAATAGAGCTAGATGATGACTAATCAGAAAGATTGAATTACTATCTTATCCCTAATTTCCTGTATCCATTCCAAACAACCAATCACAATTGAGTTGTTGTGCACCAATCAGGCCTCTTCCCGGTCTCACACCCCAATCTGGCTCGGTTACAAGGCAGCGCTACCCACCCCAGCTCCGACCATCGTCGGCCAGATTGTAGCCATTAGTCAAGTTTGCAGATTGCCTTCCTCCCTCGGCAATTCCAACCCTTTATACAAAGTCTCAAGCTCCTACACAAGCAGGTTACAGGGCACTGCCCCAGCGCCGGCTAGCTTCGTTCTGGCGCCAACTCAACCTGGCCATTACACAAGAAGACTCTATTAGGAAATTTAGCTAATCTAGAATGCCAACCAGAAATTAAGGATCTGATAATATCAGAAACCTGATCAGCAAAACTTTCTGATGATGAATTTTGACGAGTACCCTGAGATGATCACAAAGATGATGGATAATGATGACGACGCTAATGATTATTTCTCTCCACCCCTCCCCTTCTTCCATGTATTCTCCTCCTCTCCCTTCATTTCCTTTTCTCCTCCTGCTGCCTCCGCTGAGCCGAACCCCGCTATCAGCATGGAGTTCCTATCATCCCCAACGAGAGAGAGAACCTCCCCATTCCCTTCTACCTTGAGGTAACCAGTTCCCCCAAAAGGTGTACCTCAAAACTAACACTCTGACCTAGTCTGCCTCCGCCAGGAGATAATGCGCCCCCATACATATCTCCCAGCCCCAACCCAGGTCAGCTCCCATCATCTGTGTCTACTCCCTTGAGGGCAATCACCTCCCACCTTGTGTTACCCCTGCGGAGTAGCGCTCCCTTCCTGACCAACCTACCTACCAACCAGACCATAGCCTATCAAGGAGATGAGAATATAACCACCAACACAGAGATAACTACTGATTGATGAAAACATGAATAAAGAAACCATGATGATGATGATGATGATGATGATGATGATGATGAAGATGATGATGATAAAGATTCTGATTGGTAGATGATGATGATAATGATGATGACGAAAATAAATTGGCGAAAATAAGTAAGGAATGCCGGACTTGCGATGCCCTAATGGCATCGGTGTGGAAGATTGATAGCTCACTATTGCTGTAATGAAAATAGAAGATGACGATGATTACGATTTTAGAGAAGTCCGGATGATAATCATGAAGAAGATAAAAAGAAAATAAAAAGAAGATAAATAACATGGATGACGAATTAGAGAAGTCGATGATGATTACCACCGGTAACCAAATGAGGATTACAAAAATGACGGTGTCCTTGATGAAAACCCCCCACTGAAATGACAATGATGAAAATATTGATGCTCTTGATCGATAACCTGCACAAGACAAAAAACAGACAAAAGCACATATATAGGTTGATGATGACCTCCTAGCCGCTCTCTTGATGATACTCTCTCAGTGGAACTGTGATGATTCTTCAAGTAGGACCAACGTTCTCCGCACTTTGGTCTCCACGGGGCTGACTCCACTTTCCTCCACCGACATCAACTTTCGTCAACTCGCTTGAGCTCTCCAGCCTCTTTTAAAGGTCTTGGCTAGGGAGTACTTCATGTGAAAAACACAGGGAAAATGTTCAAACAGCAGTTCTCATTACCATTCTCCCTTTTCCTCTGTGCCTCAGGCCAGATGCCACGTCAGCCTATGACGTAGCCGCGCGTGCATCAAGCGCTATCCCCCATCTAATTCACAACATCACAGCACCCTCGCACCAGCGTCTCCCTCCCGTCGGCTGCCAGCACCGCACCACGTGTCAGCTAGCATCTTACTAGTCACCCCAACTTCCCCAAGCCAGCGCCTCGCCACTTGCGGGAAGCCAGCGCCTCGCAACCTGCGCCGCGCCACCTCCGACCAGCCAGCGCCTCGCCTGCAAGCAGCCAGCATGCCACCATCCACGTGCCGCGACGACCCGCCAGCCATAGCGATAGCGCTAACGCGCGTAACCCGTCATAGTTTTGGGAGAGGCTCCATCTATTGGTGGGGAGCATCACCTGCTGGAAAACGGGTCCAGCGTCCCATATACAGAGTGTAATCAGAGAACAACACATCCTTTTGCTGCTTGTTGTTATCTGGGGCTCCGGCCTCGTCTCTTCTCAGTCCGGGTCTCCGTTGTCCCATGGAGCTGCTAATGACACCCATCCCGTATTGGAGCAGCTTATCTTTTAGCCGAGCCCTATTCAGCAGCCCCCCTGTACTATATCTGTTCCATAAAAAACGTTTAATCCTATGCCCTCTTCGCACGTCTTTCCTAACCGTCACAGTCCTTGAGAATCAGTGTTGTTGTAGGTCACTCCTACCCAGAAAGGAATTTGAGAGGTGGATGTACTGTTGCACCCTAAGTTACTTGCGCACCTGACATCGTACAGTGAGTGGTAGTATACACAAATCTCACGAGTTGCAGGCAGTGAGCCAGAAGCATACCGTCATCCCTATTCAGTAGCCCCCCTGCACCATGACTGTTCCATTTAAACCGTTTAATCCTATGCCCTCTTCGCCTCAGAGTCCTTGAGAAACAGTGCTGCTGCAGGTCACTCCTACCCAGAATGAAATTTGAGAGGTAGATCTACTGTTGTAGCCTAAGTTACTTGCGTACATGACATCATACAGTGAGTGGTAGTATACACAGATCTCATGAGTTGCAGGCGGTCAAGGATCCCCTGGGGTTCGAGTGCAGCGTTCTTTCAGACTTCCACCCGTTCTGCACACAACCATTGTTATCGGTTGCTGCTGTCCAGTCCTTCAGTTTGTCGCGGGAGGGCGGCCCTTGTCGCTTGACTGTAGTCGATGCCTAGCCAGGTTTTCGGATAAGTTGAGTTACTGCATTCCCAGG